ACAGCCACAAAGAGACAGAGAAGACCCATAGATACATCAAACAACCACAAAGAGACAAAAAACAACCACAAAGAGACAAAAAACTACATCCATGGAAACACAAACAACCACAAAGCGGCAATAAACTACATCAGAGACAAAAAAACTACCACAAAGAGTCAATAAACAGCAACAGAGAGACAAAGAAGACCCATAGAGACACGAACAACCTCAAAGAGACAAAAAACTACGTCTGAGACAAAAGACAACCACAAAGAGTCAATAAACAGCCACAAAGAGACAAAGAAGACCCATAGAGACACAAACAACCATAAAGAGGAAATAAACAACCACAGAAAGACAAAAACAAGAAGACAAAACCAACCGCAAAGAGACAAAAAACAACCACAAAAGACAAAAACAATCTCAAAGAGACAAAGAACATCCATAGAGACACAAACAACCACAAAGAGACAAAAAACAGCCACAGAGAAACAAAAACCAACCTCAAAGAGATAAAATACAACCAGAAAGAGACTAAAGCATCCATAGAGACACAGACAATATGTCATAGACATGTAAAAAGAAAACAAGTTTCACTCCAGCTGTCACAACTCAACTTCACGTGGAGTCGAAAGGTCTTGAAAACTGCTTTCTGACTGTGTGCATGTTGTGATGTCAGAGTGTGTGGTGGTGATGTCAGCAGATTGTGTTGTGACGTCAGCAGATTGTGTTGTGACATCAGCAGTGTGTGTGTTGTGACGTCAGCAGTGTGTGTTGTGACGTCAGCAGTGTTGTGCGTGTCTCACCTGACAGGACGAAGAGGAGGGTGATGAAGGTCTGAGGCGTTGGCGGCAACACGGCGGCCATCCTGTGACTGAGTGTGTCCACTGTCGCTCAGACGACAACAACGGACCAGTGTGGCTCTGTGACGGAGGTGGGGGGAGGGGCTACACACACTGTGTTGGTTTGTCTGTGTGCGTTTGTGCGTCTGTGTGCGTTTGTGAGATTCACTGAATGTGTTTCCGTTAATTCAGTAACCATTCAGCGCTGCAACATAATGACGTGTGTGTAGATTGTTTAATATACAGACTGCAGTTTACAGTGTGATACAGTTAATATGATAAAAGTTTACAGTGTAATACAGTTATTATTATACAGTTTACAGTGTGATACAGTTAATATGATAAAAGTTTAAGTGTGTTACAGTTATTATTATAGAGTTTACAGTGTAATACAATTATTATTATAATACAGTTTACAGTGTAATACAATTATTATTATAATACAGTTTACAGTGTAATACAATTATTATTGTAATACAGTTTACAGTGTGATACAATTATTATACAGTTTACAGTGGGATACAGTTATCATAATACAAGTTACAATGCCATGCAGTTATTATAATGCAGGTTACAGTGTGATACAGTTGAAAATTGTGTTATGCTTCTTTCATCTGATGAAGGTAAAGAGAAACATGACAAGCAAATTGCGAACAGACAAGGATGAAGGCAGAGTTCAAACTGAAGGAAACACTGAGGACAAAAAGACTCTGTCTTTTTTAACGCACAAACAGACACACAAACTCACACTGTTGCCGGCTGCGTGGAGACGTCGCAGCCACACAGAGGACTCCTTTATTCACATCAAATATTTCTGCTTTCTTCACTTCGTCTCTTTTTCTGCCCAAACCGACAGTCTGAGAAGCTTTTGGTTTTATTTTGGTCAGAAAAATTATTATTGTTATTATTTTTTAAATGTGGCTTAATGAGTATTAATGATGTTTTTGAAAACACTTCAAGTCTTCACAGTTATCATTCATAACCAGTATGTAAACATTTAATAAATAAATTATAACGGACTAAATATAACTATAACTCCTCCCGAGGACGTCCAGAAGTGTAGCTACAAACAGATCCTTAATGAAAATATTGACTCATTCCACCTGAAATCTTCAGGACTTCTGCTCCATCATGTCTGATTTGCTTGCAACTATTTTATTATAAACTATGAATATTTGAAATTACTTTCAAACATTTTGTCTTTTGAACAAGACAAAGCAAATGTTAATAAAAGCCAACAAATAATCAAAAAAGTGCATAAAAACAACCAAACAGAGCCCCAAAACCATGTTGCTGGTGTTCCTGGAGACAGGCAGCTCCCGCCAGAAAGAGCTCCTGTCAGAGAACCTGTCTGAGGCCACGTTTACACATAGACATAGGGATTCACAAAGACAGATCTACATTTTCAAAAATAACATTGTTCACACCAGATCGTTTTCCAAAAAATCTTTGATTACACAAACCCGCATAAACACGCCGTTGAGAGCTGCTATGAGCATGCCCCACCGATAGGGGGCAGTGTAACGAGAAGCATAAAGCCATGCTAGCCAATCAGAACCTTGGAAAAAACACAACAATGAAAACTTTATGTTACTTCAACAGTAATGGTGTGATGGTCGTTTGTTTGGACCGACAGAGAAGTGGAGCTGCTCCTAAATGTGGTGTCAGCGTACAAAACAAGTAAAGTTCTTGACAATATTAACTGTAAACATGTCCGTCCAAGTACCGATATGGACGTATGACGCTGATGATGCTTTTGTCGCATGCTGTGAGACTGTGAGTTTTTTTTCCTACTGTGGCCGGAGTTTTCAGATTTGGTCATTTTCGGTGCCTTGTAGCTTCGTTTATGTGTAAACCAAAGACCCAAATGCATTGAAATATCACTGTTTTTGCTACGTGTAAATGAGGCCTGAGAGCAAGCGAGAGACAGAATGAGGGAATGATTGAGGCCTTATAAGGCCGAGCCACTGGTTCCAGGTGTGCCAGGTGTGGCTCAATCAGTGACCCTCTACTCAACTCAACTTCTGCAACAGGAACACCTGGTGGATAGGTGGAGGGTCATCACCATCTATCTATCTATCTATCTATCTATCTATCTATCTATCTATCTATCTATCTATCTATCTATCTATCTATCTATCTATCTATCTATCTATCTATCNTTTTGTGTCATTCTCCTTGTGTTGCATGTCATTGTCGCTGTTTTCTTTCTCTTTGTGGTCGTTTTGTGTCTCTGTGACCTTGTTTTGCATGCCTTTGTGTTGTTTTGTGTCCCTTCATGGGGGTTTTGTTGTAACATTTAACACAGCGAGCAAAAACGTATACAGAATCATGTTTGTTCAAAATATATGTACAAATAAGAGCATTTCATGTCTCTTTGAGCCTAAAATCTGCACTTTTACGCAGTCCCCTGAAGCTGGATTAAAGTTTCATTTTCCACCGACTGAAATTTGAGCAGCACGATGGAAGCGGACCTTGGAGATGACGCCGTTCTCGTCCGTCTGCACCAGGATGTTGCTGCACCAGAAGGTCCCGCAGCCACGACCCCAGCAAACCCGACTCAGGCCGAAACGCTTCACCGAGTACTGACAGGACAGAGAGGCCACGCCCCCCTCCGCCACTTTAAACGAGGAAACGGAAGAAAAGTGTCCGCCTGCAGCACAAAGACATACAAACTGTTAGCACCACGTTTCTGAATAAACTCCACAGTTTCACATGTGAGACACGGAGGCGAGATGAAATTTTAGACATGATGAGATGACCACATGAGATTTGATGATGGTGACTTTTAGAGGCTGCAAACAACCACAAAGAGACAAAAAACAACCACAAAGAGACAAAAAAAAACATCCATAGAGACACAAACAACCACAAAGAGGCAATA